CCTCTCCTGCTGATGTTCAGGTTGTATATCAGTATGTAGTGTCTCTACTTTAAAGAGTCCTCTCCTGCTGATGTTCAGGTGTGTATCAGTATGTCGTGTCTCTACTTTAAAGAGTCCTCTCCTGCTGATGTTCAGGTGTGTATCAGTATGTAGTGTCTCTACTTTAAAGAGTCCTCTCCTGCTGATGTTCAGGTGTGTATCAGTATGTATTGTCTCTACTTTAAAGAGTCCTCTCCTGCTGATGTCAGGTGTATATCAGTATGTAGTGTCTCTACTTTAAAGAGTCCTCTCCTGCTGATGTTCAGGTGTGTATCAGTATGTAGTGTCTCTACTTTAAAGAGTCCTCTCCTGCTGATGTTCAGGTGTATATCAGTATGTAGTGTCTCTACTTTAAAGAGTCCTCTCCTGCTGATGTTCAGGTGTGTATCAGTATGTAGTGTCTCTACTTTAAAGAGTCCTCTCCTGCTGATGTTCAGGTGTGTATCAGTATGTAGTGTCTCTACTTTAAAGAGTCCTCTCCTGCTGATGTTCAGGTGTGTATCAGTATGTAGTGTCTCTACTTTAAAGAGTCCTCTCCTGCTGATGTTCAGGTGTGTATCAGTGTAGTGTCTCTACTTTAAAGAGTCCTCTCCTGCTGATGTTCAGGTGTATATCAGTATGTAGTGTCTCTACTTTAAAGAGTCCTCTCCTGCTGATGTTCAGGTGTATCAGTATGTGGTGTCTCTACTTTAAAGAGTCCTCTCCTGCTGATGTTCAGGTGTGTATCAGTATGTGTGTCTCTACTTTAAGAGTCCTCTCCTGCTGATGGTCATGTTGGTATCTCAGTATGTAGTGTATCTACTTTAAAGAGTCCTCTCCTGCTGATGTTCAGGTGTATATCAGTATGTAGTGTCTCTACTTTAAAGAGTCCTCTCCTGCTGATGTTCAGGTGTATATCAGTATGTAGTGTCTCTACTTTAAAGAGTCCTCTCCTGCTGATGTTCAGGTGTATATCAGTATGTAGTGTCTCTACTTTAAAGAGGTCCTCTCCTGCTGATGTTCAGGTGTATCTCAGTATGTAGTGTCTCTACCTTTAAAGAGTCCTCTCCTGCTGATGTTCAGGTGTGTATCAGTATGTAGATGTCTAAGTCCTCGCCTGCTGATGTTCAGGTGTATCAGTATGTAGTGTCTCTACTTTAAAGAGTCCTCTCCTGCTGATGTTCAGGTGTATATCAGTATGTAGTGTCTCTACTTTAAAGAGTCCTCTCCTGCTGATGTTCAGGTGTATCTCAGTATGTAGTGTCTCTACTTTAAAGAGTCCTCTCCTGCTGATGTTCAGGTGTATATCAGTATGTAGTGTCTCTACTTTAAAGAGTCCTCTCCTGCTGATGTTCAGATGTATATCAGTATGTAGTGTCTCTACTTTAAAGAGTCCTCTCCTGCTGATGTTCATGTCTCCATACTGTAACAAAGTGTTTTCTCTTTTATAAGCTAGTTAAACTAACTGGCCTGATCCCCATCGTGACTCCAGCATAATAATAATAATAATAATAATGGGCCCTTTAAAGTGTGGATCGGTATGCTGCTGTCATGGCCTTTGAAGAGATTAAAGCAGAGCTGCCAGACACCATCACACACACACACACACACACACACACACACACACACACACACACACACACACACACACACTGAAGGTCACCTCACATGAACTAACATCAAACACCCGACGAGACATTTCCCTTCAAACTCAGAGATATAGTAGATATATATATGCCGGTGTAACAGCTGTGTCCATGTTTCAATGCAACACACACACAGACACACACACACACACACACACACACACACACACACACACACACACACACTCCTGACAGCAGGTACAGTACAAACCACAGAAGGAACAGACATGCAGACAAACAGAGATAATCTGTTCAATTTTGTCGGATGTGTAACAGCAACACGTTCATCAGAGTATATGAAAGGTTCTTCTATCCGTACGCTCAACACATCGTGCACTCCAACAGGAAGTAGGTCCATGTTACCTAAAGTGAAAACAAATATGCCCCAATCTCATAATCATGACGAAATATCTTAAAATTCCTGTTGAAAAAACGTACTTAGTTCATCATTATGAGATGTGTTCAGATGTATTCTATCTATAACGATAAACTTTGTTCAAATTATATTTTAATTTCAGAAAATATAATATCACTGTGTGTGTGTGTGTGTGTGTGTGTGTGTGTGTGTGTGTGTGTGTGTGTGTGTGTGTGTGTGTGTGTGTGTGTGTGTGTGTGTGTGTGTGTGTGTGTGTGTTTACATAGTCATGTGTGGGGACTCGTCTCCCTTATGGGGACAAATTGGAGGTCCCCATAAGGGGAATCATTAATTTTAGGGTGAAGACTTGGTTAAGGTTAAGGTTAAGGGTAAGGGTTAGGGTAAGGGTAAGGTTAAGGGTAAGGGTTAGGGTAAGGGTAAGGTTAAGGGTAAGGGTTAGGCATGTGTTGGTTATGGTTAAGGTTAGGATACGTCAACAGGAAATGCATGTAAGTCAATGTAATGTCAGAAACAAAATGTCTCTCTGAGGGTTAGCAGGACAGCACTAAACTTAGCATTTATATTTATAGCCTCCCTGATTCATGCAAATTCATTTTAACGTTTCACTTCTATGTTAATCAATTTCAATTATCTGTCATTACTTTTTTTTTGCTGGAATAAGGTTTCACTTTAAACGAGACGAACGGCCTGTTAATGTGAGCGGCGCTGCGGCAGTGCGTGTGTGTGTGTGTGTGTGTGTGTGTGTGTGTGTGTGTGTGTGTGTGTGTGTGTGTGTGTGTGTTAGTTATATGACTGGAAATGGAAATGGAAATATCCCTTGGTAAAGAATTGTATTCCATTTATTTTTGTGTAATTGTATTGAATTATTTTTTAATTTTATGTTTTAAATTAAAATAGTTTTCTCTACTTTTAAGAGATTGACTGTTCAAAACATTACACCTTTTTCCACATTATCCATTAACTACTTAAGCTTATAAATCCCTCATGTGAGCGCTAATGGAAAGCTGCGTTCAGGTACAGACCACCTTTTCATTTCCATAATGTTCACAAAGTGTCTGACACCCCGTTGATTTCAAAGCTTCTTAATGTTGTTCATGGACCTGTGAGTGTTTTAGATCCTTGTTGTTGTGACCTTGCTTTTGGAGAGCTTAATTAGACGTCCTGATGTGTTGATTTTTCATCAACCAAGGAACATTAAAATACCCGCCTGTTTCTAACACAAACCAGGTCCAAAGAAAGCCAAATAAAAGGGATGATATGCAATATTTTTCAACTGTCAAACCCCATTGAAACAACACTGAATATATCTGATTATTGAAGGACTGTTTGAATTAAACCCTGATAGATCTTCCCAAAGAGATTCATCGTCGTCCAATTGGCACTACAATATATATCATGTAAATTGCAATATGCAAAGTGTTGTATTGGTATAAATCAAATGCTGAATGGCGCTGTTAAAAAGGGTTTGTCTGGTGTTGGTGATTGAAACAGTCTGTAAGCATGTGTTTCCTGACAGGAAGTAGGAGAGGGAATGAGGAAGTGAGGCGGACATGTTACTACTTCTGATGCTTAACTGTGTCAGTATGAGAGATACAATCATCAGCAGACAGATAACTCCTGTGTCTCAGAGAGTACAGAAAACAAAGAAAGACGTTCTGCAGGAATAGGGAAGAGGAAAAGTGGGAAAATGATGTTGGATGTGACAGGAACACTAAAAGGAGGGACGACAAGATATGAGAAAAATAAATGGTGAATAAAGGAAGGTAACGTAAGGAGCAAGCAGGGAGGAAGAGAAGGAGGAAGGTGAGGAGAGGGGAGGATAATAAGGAAAGGGATTAGGAAAGGAAAGCAGAAGGAGAATGAGGTGAGAGCAGAATAATGGAAATGGAGGATGAGGAGGAGAGTGGAGGAAAAGCAGAGGAAAGGATAAGATAGGAAGAGAGGGAAGGAAAGGGATTAAGATTATTCATGAAAATGAAATTAGAGAGAAGGAGAGTTTATAACAGTGGAGGAAAGGGAAGGATGGAAAGTGGGACGTAGAAAAGGAATAAAAGGAAAAATAGAGGGGAAAGGAGGAGGCAGAGGAAAGTAGAAAATGGCATCCAAGTGCAATGAAAGGAGAGTGGAAGAGCCCTCTAAGAGTCATTCTGTATGCTTCATTTTGAAGGTATCTTTGGGCACATGCCGGCGTATCGTAAATACGTCAATAGTGTCAGTGCAGTCGTATTCTCAAAGCACTGCAGTCTCTTTTGAAAAGACCATAAGAGCTGATTTCAAGCTTCCACGTTGCCTTTTAATGTCTTAAAACTGCTATTACTTTGCATTGCGTCGCCAGCTTTATCAACCTTTACTTGACAAAGAAACTGTTTCTTGGGCTTTTAAATTCACTGGTATTAAAGATCCCTTATTATATATGAGCTTTAAGTTATAACGTTTTTATCTACAGTGCCGCTAGTGCTCAACCAAAAGAAGTAAGACATAAGCATTCAAACGGTAAGAGGGAAACGTTAAATAGTCTCTTGGACAGGTTGAGAATCTCTGTGGTTTAAACACTCTTTGAGAATATCCGACACATAGGAATAAAAAGTTGTTCAAATCCACACTTCCCAGCAGACACTTTCACACACACTCATCGAGCGACAGACCTCATAATCGAATCTGTCAAACATGTCGTGTTCGTCCAGTTCTCAGCACTAGGAGGGACGGGAGCATCACGACGTGTCTCTGTATTAAACGAACACTTGGCATCCCTTAGCATCCGACCACAGACACGTCACTGTCACATTGTTCATCGCTCTAAAAACATGTTTATCTGCGATCTGGAGGGAGGGGGGCATGATGGGAAAAAGCAGGAAAATCCACCAACAATACATACGGGTTTCCATGAGAGACCGGCAGGCTGTGGGCATGTTTGTCAGAGATTACAGGGAACAAGAGGATGTTAAATCACACGGACTCACATTGTCTGTTCTGAGCTTCTTGGCGGGGCAGCCTCCATCCACAGGATGTAGCATGTAGTACAGACGCACTTTGTTGGCGTGTTTCCGACTCTGAGGGGAGAAAAAGGGACAAAAGTTAGAAATAAACTAATTTAAGTCGTGACGTATACACTGTCAATCAAACAGGACAGCCAATTATTTGACATGTTGTTGTGTTAGCGATAGGGTGGTTAGGGAAAATGTATTTCTGAATGTTAGCGTCTCCCATGTCAAAATGCTAATGTAATTTTACAGTTGGATTTTGGATTATGCAGATAATCTCAACAAACAAGCTTTAATGGCAATGAAAGGAACTACAGCACGGTCACATGACTTCACGTCACCACCGCTAAGCTAAAGGAGGCTAATGTTGGGCTATAGAGGAACTACAGCACGGTCACATGACTTCACGTCACCACCACTAAGCTAAAGGTTGCTAATGTTGGGCTATAAAGGAACTACAGCACGGTCACATGACTTCACGTCACCACCGCTAAGCTAAAGGCGGCTAATGTTGGGCTATAAAGGAACTACAGCACGGTCACATGACTTCACGTCACCACCGCTAAGCTAAAGGCGGCTAATGTTGGGCTATAAAGGAACTACAGCACGGTCACATGACTTCACGTCACCACCGCTAAGCTAAAGGAGGCTAATGTTGGGTTATAAAGGAACTACAGCACGGTCACATGACTTCACGTCACCACCACTAAGCTAAAGGTTGCTAATGTTGGGCTATAAAGGAACTACAGCATGGTCACATGACTTCACGTCACCACCGCTAAGCTAAAGGAGGCTAATGTTGGGCTATAAAGGAACTACAGCACGGTCACACTCCGTTTCTAAATCCACCAGTGGGGTGTTTACTGATGTGTTTTATGAAGTAGAACAAAAACTGTGTTAACCACACACCTTATTTTAGGATAACAACCACAAACAGATTCAGAAAACCACTGACCTCCAGACCAGAGGACAGGAAGTGCTGAAATTATGACAAATGTCTGTGTTTTTTGGTCCCAAAGAGGAGGTTTAATGGAAAATAAGAAAGGTCTGAGGCACTGTTCTGGTAAAGAGATAGAAAGCCTTTAATCAGATGGATTTCATGTTCGAATAAAACTGAGTTGCTGCACAAACAGCGTTCTGAAGGGGGTGAAATTATTAAAGGCTTTTTCACTTTTGGCCAGAGGAGTAGATGTAATATTGAACCAGCAAGGAATTTTAAAACACCTTTTTACAATGCACTGCCTTTGTCTAATGTGCAAAACACTGCCCGTGTTATAAGTAAATGATTGCTGTTTTGGGGATAATCAGGTTAGATCGTCAACGTTAGCAATAATGAACACAAAAATAACATTTAGACACTTTTCTGAACAATATAAGAGGATATTATTAAGCTTTGTAAAGCAGCTATTATGGATTTGCTTGTAACAAATGACAATGTGAACAAGTGTTGATGAATCTTATTGAGTATTATCTCATGAATCTGTGAATGAATACTTTCAGTTTAATCAGATTTGTAGCTGTCCCGCCCACAAATAATGCTGTAAAAAAAGCCACTGTTCACCTTCTGCTCATCCTCACACAACAGAAAGACAGGTCCAGTTGTGATAGACACGGTTCTCCACTGCATTAGTGTGATAGCAGCCAGGTAACAGCAGGAAGTGTAGCATGTACACATTAGTGTGATAGCAGCTAGGTAACAGCAGGAAGTGTAGCATGTACACATTAGTGTGATAGCAGCCAGGTAACAGGAGGAAGTGTAGCATGTATACATTAGTGTGATAGCAGCTAGGTAACAGGAGGAAGTGTAGCATGTACACATTAGTGTGATAGCAGCTAGGTAATAACAGGAAGTGTAGCATGTATACATTAGTGTGATAGCAGCTAGGTACAACAGGAAGTGTAGCATGTATACATTAGTGTGATAGCAGCTAGGTAACAACAGGAAGTGTAGCATGTACACATTAGTGTGATAGCAGCTAGGTAACAACAGGAAGTGTAGCATGTACACATTAGTGTGATAGCAGCTAGGTAATAACAGGAAGTGTAGCATGTATACATTAGTGTGATAGCAGCTAGGTAACAACAGGAAGTGTAGCATGTATACATTAGTGTGATAGCAGCCAGGTAACAACAGGAAGTGTAGCATGTACACATTAGTGTGATAGCAGCTAGGTAACAACAGGAAGTGTAGCATGTACACATTAGTGTGATAGCAGCTAGGTAACAGCAGGAAGTGTAGCATGTATACATTAGTGTGATAGCAGCTAGGTAACAGCAGGAAGTGTAGCATGTATACATTAGTGTGATAGCAGCTAGGTAACAACAGGAAGTGTAGCATGTACACATTAGTGTGATAGCAGCCAGGTAACAGCAGGAAGTGTAGCATGTACACATTAGTGTGATAGCAGCTAGGTAACAACAGGAAGTGTAGCATGTACACATTAGTGTGATAGCAGCCAGGTAACAACAGGAAGTGTAGCATGTACACATTAGTGTGATAGCAGCCAGGTAACAGCAGGAAGTGTAGCATGTATACATTAGTGTGATAGCAGCTAGGTAACAGCAGGAAGTGTAGCATGTACACATTAGTGTGATAGCAGCCAGGTAACAGCAGGAAGTGTAGCATGTACACATTAGTGTGATAGCAGCTAGGTAACAGCAGGAAGTGTAGCATGTACACATTAGTGTGATAGCAGCTAGGTAACAACAGGAAGTGTAGCATGTACACATTAGTGTGATAGCAGCCAGGTAACAGCAGGAAGTGTAGCATGTATACATTAGTGTGATAGCAGCTAGGTAACAGCAGGAAGTGTAGCATGTACACATTAGTGTGATAGCAGCCAGGTAACAGCAGGAAGTGTAGCATGTACACATTAGTGTGATAGCAGCCAGGTAACAGCAGGAAGTGTAGCATGTATACATTAGTGTGATAGCAGCTAGGTAACATCAGGAAGTGTAGCATGTACACATTAGTGTGATAGCAGCCAGGTAATAACAGGAAGTGTAGCATGTATACATTAGTGTGATAGCAGCTAGGTAACATCAGGAAGTGTAGCATGTACACATTAGTGTGATAGCAGCCAGGTAACAGCAGGAAGTGTAGCATGTACACATTAGTGTGATAGCAGCCAGGTAACAGCAGGAAGTGTAGCATGTACACATTAGTGTGATAGCAGCCAGGTAACAACAGGAAGTGTAGCATGTACACATTAGTGTGATAGCAGCTAGGTAACAGCAGGAAGTGTAGCATGTACACATTAGTGTGATAGCAGCTAGGTAACAACAGGAAGTGTAGCATGTACACATTAGTGTGATAGCAGCCAGGTAACAGCAGGAAGTGTAGCATGTACATATAGTGTGATAGCAGCCAGTAACAGCAGGAAGTGGTAGCATGTACCAGGTAACAAGCAGGAAGTGTAGCATGTACACATTAGTGTGATAGCAGCCAGTACAACAGGAAGTGTAGCATGACACATTAGTGTGATAGCAGTAGGTAACAGCAGGAAGTGTACATTACATTAGTGTGATAGCAGCTAGGTAACAACAGGAAGTGTAGCATGTACACATTAGTGTGATAGCAGCCAGGTAACAGCAGGAAGTGTAGCATGTATACATTAGTGTGATAGCAGCTAGGTAACAGCAGGAAGTGTAGCATGTACACATTAGTGTGATAGCAGCTAGGTAACAGCAGGAAGTGTAGCATGTACACATTAGTGTGATAGCAGCTAGGTAATACAGGAAGTGTAGCATGTATACATTAGTGTGATAGCAGCTAGGTAACAACAGGAAGTGTAGCATGTACACATTAGTGTGATAGCAGCTAGGTAACAGCAGGAAGTGTAGCATGTACACATTAGTGTGATAGCAGCTAGGTAACAACAGGAAGTGTAGCATGTACACATTAGTGTGATAGCAGCTAGGTAACAGCAGGAAGTGTAGCATGTACACATTAGTGTGATAGCAGCTAGGTAACAACAGGAAGTGTAGCATGTACACATTAGTGTGATAGCAGCCAGGTAACAGCAGGAAGTGTATCATGTATACATTAGTGTGATAGCAGCTAGGTAACAGCAGGAAGTGTAGCATGTACACATTAGTGTGATAGCAGCTAGGTAACAGCAGGAAGTGTAGCATGTACACATTAGTGTGATAGCAGCTAGGTAATAACAGGAAGTGTAGCATGTATACATTAGTGTGATAGCAGCTAGGTAACAACAGGAAGTGTAGCATGTACACATTAGTGTGATAGCAGCTAGGTAACAGCAGGAAGTGTAGCATGTACACATTAGTGTGATAGCAGCTAGGTAACAACAGGAAGTGTAGCATGTACACATTAGTGTGATAGCAGCCAGGTAACAGCAGGAAGTGTAGCATGTATACATTAGTGTGATAGCAGCCAGGTAACAGCAGGAAGTGTAGCATGTACACATTAGTGTGATAGCAGCTAGGTAACAACAGGAAGTGTAGCATGTATACATTAGTGTGATAGCAGCTAGGTACAACAGGAAGTGTAGCATGTATACATTAGTGTGATAGCAGCTAGGTAACAACAGGAAGTGTAGCATGTATACATTAGTGTGATAGCAGCTAGGTAACAACAGGAAGTGTAGCATGTACACATTAGTGTGATAGCAGCTAGGTAACAACAGGAAGTGTAGCATGTATACATTAGTGTGATAGCAGCTAGGTAACAACAGGAAGTGTAGCATGTATACATTAGTGTGATAGCAGCTAGGTAACAACAGGAAGTGTAGCATGTACACATTAGTGTGATAGCAGCTAGGTAACAGCAGGAAGTGTAGCATGTATACATTAGTGTGATAGCAGCTAGGTAACAGCAGGAAGTGTAGCATGTACACATTAGTGTGATAGCAGCTAGGTAACAGCAGGAAGTGTAGCATGTACACATTAGTGTGATAGCAGCTAGGTAACAGCAGGAAGTGGTAGCATGTATACATTAGTGTGATAGCAGCTAGGTAACAGCAGGAAGTGTAGCATTGTACACATTAGTGTGATAGCAGCCAGTAACAGCAGGAAGTGTAGCATGTAACACATTAGTGTGATAGCAG